TTGGTTTTGTTTGTCTTATTTGAGCTTCACATAGTTTTCTGAGCTGACTTCAGAGGCCGGCCTCCTGGTCATGAGGTCAGCTGGTCACTAAACCAGGCAGACAGGCTCCTTCCTGCTCCCCACCTCCCTGATTTTCCAGCTGCCTCCTGGGCTGGATGAGCATTTGCTATTGTTGCCCCAGAGGCCAAACCTGAAAATCAACTAGGTGGAATTTCTGGCTTTTCTTTTTCCACCTATTTTATCTCCTGACTTTTTCTCTAAAGGAGATTAGTCTCTACTAATTAAAGTAGGACTACATTCCAAACTGTGTAAAGGGTTGAAGATGGGAGATTTGATCGCCTTTTCCAGTTCCACTTGGTGGGTGAGTGTTTGTGTGCACATATATGCAGCATTTTAAAATTGGGGCTGTCCTGGAAAGTTTAGTCACACTATATAAAACAGGCAGCCCCTGCCTATCCTATCCAGAGTTTGTTTCTTTGCTGCAAGGGCAAGACAGGCTCTGAAAGTATGAGTGGAGATAACTGTGCCCTCCAGGGACCTTCCAGACTGTGGAGGGCCCTGGGATTTTTGGGTGGTCATTACAGCTCACATGTGCAAAGGCCAGAGTGGGTGTGTTTGCACCTGAGTCCTAACCTTTGTTATGTGATACTTTTTCTGCTTTTGTTTCTGGGGTGAATTAAGAGGTATGATACCATAATCCTGTATCAGCTGTCACCTCATTGATTTATTCTTAAAAAGAATTGTCTTCCTTTTCATTCTTTCTGGTGTGCATATTTGCACATCATGATTAGATCACAGGGGGTTTTTGCTGTGAGAACATCTATGCTCCAGGGTAGTGGATTGGAGGTGAGCACCCATGGTGGACTTGGCTAGAAGTGGGAGCAGGGAGACAATGCATTTGGACTCTCTGTTCCTTTGAGGCAAGAAAGCAGACCTGGAGGATAGACTTCACACTGGTGTTCTCTTGGCTTAGCCCTTACACAGGGTGTAGTCCTGGTGTCAGAGCTGGGCTCTTGCAGCTGTGAGGTTTACCTTGCCTCTCTGTAGCTGGCTGGCTGGTTCTTAAGTCCTGCAATTGACCAACAGTATCAAAGGAGCCTTAAGAGGTCACTGAATTGCATTCAGGCTGGGCTGGGTCATGAACCATCCCAAAAAACAGAGCTCCCTGTACTTTCCTTGGAGACTGATAATTCCAGTCAGGAAATCTTTCTTTAAGTCTAACTGAAGTACAGCAAAATCCATTATTCCCTCTGGCTCAGTTGCACAAGCACAAAGAGGGTAGCTCCTGGGGACACCTTGGTGCTGGCACAAGTGCAGAGCACATGCTGCTTCCCAGGTGCAGCTACTGGATAATAGAGGCCACCTAGCCAGGCGCACTAACACTTCACAGTGTACTGCGGTCTCCCAGCAACCTGGATATGTGTTGGGTATTATTTCATGGAGTGCTCAGGCAGAGGTAGGATGGTGCTAGGGATGTGGGGAAAGAAAGAAGCCCCAGGGAAAACTTGAACTGAGAGAGGGCATGGGGGCATGCCCAGAGCTGGGCATTTCTGACCATGGGCTGCTTTCTGGTAGATGACCTGGGAGCTGGAGAGACTGACCCAGTGAGCCCATCAGTATGGCTCTGCCCAGCTGAGGCCATGGAGGGGTTTCCCTGTTGTATCAGGAAGGTCGCAGAGGAAGGTTGCAAGGAAGCAGTCGGGGTAGAAGCCAGGTGGGAGGAGGCAGAGGCTGGTTTCTCCCAACACCCACTGCTCTGCATCAGGACTTGTTCCTCAGAGCCTCTCCCCAGGGTGAGCAGACAGTCCGTGGCCAGGGAACTCCAGCCTAACAGTCGGCCACCCTGAGCTGAGAGTTCCATCCCAACCAGGCTGGCAGGATCCTAAGACCTGGAGCAGGAGAACTCCATTTCAGGCAGGCTCATATGTGGGTGAACTCCAGCCAAGCTAGAATCTTCCTCTGCGAGTGCCTTGAAATAGACCAGTGGTCCTCAGTACTGTGCCGCCCAGGGCCACTGTCCGCCACTGGCCATGTCTGGAGTCATCCTTGATTGTTAAACCTGGGGCAGGGATGCTGCTGAAGGTCCTCCATAGAACAGCCCCCACAGCAAAGAAGGCTCTAGCCCAAAATGTTGACAGTGCCAAGGCCGAGAAACTGAGGGATTCGGTCAGTGGTTTATTTAAATTCTTATTTATTTTTAAAAATGAAATGTAAATACGATTTGCTATTAGCTCTGCTCTTAAACAGCACAGGACTCACCTGTCAGATTTCCTGGGAGTGAGGGGTTGATGGCACAGAGTTGGCTTACTGATGGTGCAGTGCCAGTCATGGAATGGGGTGGGCCTGTTCCTCATCTGGAGAGGTCTATGGGGTGCCCCTGCATACCAGGCAACCACAAGGCCTGCAGAACTGCTTGTGTGTCCCAGGGAGCACATAGGTGCCACTCCCTGCGTGGTGCCCTCAGACCGTGATGTAAAATGAGCCCTGCCTCAGCATTTGTCGTCAAAAGCAGTAGCTCTGAGCAGCTTGTGGCCACTTCTGGCCCTCCCAGGCCCACATAATAAACTGTAGCATTTTATGGCTGATCTGTGCCCTCAACACTAGTCACCATCTGTTTCGAGTTGTTACTGATTTTTATACGATGTTACCATTTGATTTCATTTGCTTGAGTGTTATCTTACCAACCTGACTGACTTGTTGTTGTTGTTGTGGTCCTCGTTGGGCCCCTGATAATTCTAAGTGTCTCTCCATGTTGCTAGCATGGGGTTTGAGTGGCACAAATCTAGCAGATGTTCAGTAAATATTTATGGAGTTGAGCTACCAGCTTTGTCAGTGCCTTGCTGCAGAATTTCTGCTCCCAGCTTTAAAACCTTAAGACAGAGGGCGGGTAGGAAAGGAGAGAAGGTAGGACAAGGGGTGTTCCTCAGAGGGAGATGAGGGATATGGTGACCCTTAGGGATTACTCAGCAGAAGGGAGAAACTTCCCAAGAGCTCCTGAGAACCGGGATGGGGGAAAGGTTACCTCAGCTCCACTGGGTTGGGACCTGGAGAGGAAGATCGGCATCAGGAGGTCACAGCATGCAGGAGGGGGAGGAAGGCAGCAGTCCCTGGATCTGGGGACAGTAGCTCCAGGAAGCCCTTTCTGCTTGCAGACTTCTGCTGGGACTGGGGCTGGTGGACCTCGTCCAGTTCTGGAGACTGACCGTTGCCTCTCCAGGCAGCCCTGAGATGGGACTAACTTTGGGGAATCTCTTTTCCTTTTTTGGGAAATTTCTTTCTCGATACACCCACGTACCCTGTAACTGGTGGGTGTGGAGGAGAGGCAAATTTCCCGAAAAAGGAAATTTCTCAAATGCAGGCTGAGGTGAGGTGGGCTCTGGGCAGCCGCACAGACAAGTAGGAGCCTGAGAGATTTGGCTGGCCCCTGGTTTTTCAGGAGTGGACGAAGCAACAGTCTAGAAACCTGGACTCCTGCCTCTGTCCTCTGCCTTTGTTTCTCTGCCTGTAAAATGTTCCCCATGATTTTACCTAATTCTGCCACTGAGTTTCTGGGGACTGATGTCAAGCTGAGGTGTGGGTGTCACCAGACGTCACTAGAAAGCTCTTGGGAGGAGTTCCAGGTCTAGAAGCGGAGTGGGAGGGCCAGGAGCTTGGGGTGGAGCAGGCCAGGCCACGCTTTGGGATTCTCACAGGCCTGCTCTCCAAGGCAAAAAGATTATCGAATGTTTTATTTGAATGTTTTTAACTTTGGTGAAGTGTGCAGGAAATTCACCATCTTAACCGTTTTTAAGTGTGCAGTTCAGTGGCATTAAGTACATCCACACTGTTGTACAACCACCACACCCTCCCTCTCCAGGACCTTTTTCAACTTGCTGACTGACCTGTGCACCCACTGAACTATAACTCCCTTCCCCAGCCCCTGGAAACCCCCGTGCTACTCTCTGTCTCTAAGAATTTGACTCCTCCAGCACCTCACATAAATGGGATTATGCAGGGTTTGTCCTTTGTGACTGGCGTGTTTCACTCAGCATAAAGGTCTTGAGAGATCAACTGTGTTGGTGTCAAAATTTCCGTCCACCTGATTGTAGTAGGTCTGATGCCCTTGGACCGTGACTGCTGACGCTGAACCTCTCACACATGGAAGCCATGGAGGGACCATGAAGCCACCTTCCGTGGCAGGCATGGTGCTGAGGGCCAGCCTCCACAATGGGGAGCTCCACTCCCTCCTAGCCTGGGGAGTCTTTGAGCCTCGTGAGAGAGGAGAGCTGCCTCCTGTGTAGGGGCCATGCTGAGGACTCATAGCTCAGCTCATATCCTCAGACATAGTAGAGAAAACAGTTTTAGCTCTTGGATATGTGCCTTTTTCAGGGGCAGCCTATGAGTTTGTCAGTCCCATAAGAAATGTAGGTCCAGCCTGAGAAATTAACTTGGGGTGCATATGTACTTGTGTATGAAGTAAATAGGCTTGGTCCAAAGGATCTTCAGAGCACTCCAAGAAGAGTCCGGCTTCTTTAGAGTTTGCTTCCTATAGGAGAGTGTCCAGGAGGTTGCTTTGATCTTGGGGACCTCTGCTTACCTCACTCATGACAAATTTCTGCTATTTTTGGTGATGTTAAAGTCATGAGCAGCCCAAAGTTGTCTGGGCCTGTGAGAGCCTAGGAGGAGGGGCGTTACCGCAGAGCCCTGCTGTCTTTAACATCTGTCATTTGAGGTTTCTTTCCCTTCTCTGCAGCTGATCACCTAGTTCCCGTTGCTCCCTAAGCCAGCATTTTGTAGATGTTACCCAGTATCAGAATCTGCAGGGCGGGGCTGGGAGACCAGTTTAAATAACCACTCCACGTGATTTCTTTTTTTTTTTTTTGAGATAGAGTCTCGCTGTGTCGCTCAGGCTAGAGTGCAGTGGCGTGATCTTGGCTCACTGCAACCTCCGCCTCTCGGGTTCAAGCAAGTCTCCTGCCTCAGCCTCCCGAGTAGCTAGAACTACAGGTGTGTGCCACCATGCCCGGCTAATTTTTTGTATTTTTCATAGAGACAGGGTTTCACTGTGTTAGCCACGATGGTCTCAATTTCTTGACCTCGTGATCTGCCTGCCTCGGCCTCCCGATGTCCATGTGATTTTTAAGCACTCCAATTGAGAACTGCTGCTTTAAGCTCTGGCTTTGTTTCCTCTAGCTCGGAGCTTTCCCAGGCAGGCGAAAAGAATCATCTGGTCCTCCCTTGGTGCTGAGGCACTTCCTGGGTATCTGATCCTTTGGGAACCATAGTGGCTGCTGTGTTCATAATAGAGCAGTTGAAGGGACACTAGGCCATAGAAGGCCCCTCCGGTGGTGAAGCTCATATCTCTCGGGACCCACATGAACACATGCAGACTAAATCCCTAGGAGAACCGTGGTATGTAGGCCCTTAAAGGTGGTGGGTGGTTGGGGAGGCAGAGAAGTGTTCTGAGAGGAGAGAGGTGGCACTTGGCTGCCTTCCCGCTCATCGCAGAGATTCAGGAGGAGCCATGTGCCCGGCTGGGGCTCCATGGTAGCACTTTCTTCTCATTTCTATCTTAGTCTGCACAATGGTAGATACCATGTCCATTTCACAGTTAAAAAGACTGAGGCCCAGAGATTGTGAGGAGCCTCAACTACTAAGTGACAAACCTTGATATGTAGGCAGGATAGACTCCGTCTGAGAGAGGGATGGTGTCTTTCCTTCACCAAGTGATCTCGTCCCTCATGTTCAGAGCTCCAGCTGCACCAGCTGCCTTATGCAGGCGGGCAATAGGGCTAGTTGAAGGCCAGGCAGGGCTTTCGGCATCCTTCCTGACCCTCTGGCTTGTCTGTGTTGCAAACTGACCCAACTGTAGTAGCTGACCTGTGTCTTTATTAATGCCATTGAACCAAGCTACCTGCAGGCCTGCAACCTTGTAGGGTCCACCTGCCTTTTTTACTACACGATCATATAAATATATAATTCAGAGAGATTTGTAGAAATCAGAAAAATAAGAACATAGAGCCTGTAATTTACAGAGAAGCAGAGAAGCTTCCTCAGGCCTGCAGACCGTCCCTTCATGTTTAAAGGACAGGAAGGAGCAAAACAGGGAACCAGGGAGGATGTTTTATGGGCCAGTCTTATGCTTTCAGATTTAGCTTTCAGTCTGTCATGTTTCAGCCTTGTCCTGGCCTTTGTGCTTTTCCACGAGTTCCTGGTTGCAAGGGGAAGGAGACAGGTCCTGCTGTGTGGTGCGTGGAGTATCTTAGGGAGAGCCTGTTGGGGTGGGGTAACTGTGGGGTCACTCAGGCCCTTCCTGCCACTGTAGGCACCTCCGAGGCTATTTGGCCCGCAGGAAGCCCTGAGTTGTTTGCTCCTTTGCCCAGCAGCTCATTTCTAGCTCTGTGCTGTGTGCTTTCAGAATAAGATCACTTTAAAAAATAACTTCAGACACAAGAAAACTTGTGTTTTCATCTTTACACAAGCCCTGTGAGCAAGGTATGAGGGGTGGTTAATGGGGGAGGTGCTCCCCCCACCCCCTGCTGTCCCCATGCATCACATTCCCCCGGGGTCCCTACATGCTTTCAGACTTTTGGTTGAGAGACTTCTGTCTTTAAGTGGAATTCTGCATGGAGTCTTAATACAAGCTTTAAAAAGTATACAGTCAGATGCTGCTTTATTTGAAGTTTTGAAATATTTCTGACCCCTCCCTCATCAACAACTCTGCCCCTGGCAGCTGCAGAAAAGAATATACACTGACCAGACTGGAACAACCTCCTTCTCTGAGGAATTATCCAGGTGCCCAGAGGTCCAGATCACAGACCTGCTCAGGAAAGGCACCTCTTCTTGTGTGATCATTTGATTATTTTCCCAAATGAACAAGCTTATTTTTTAAAGATTTTCCAAAGTAGTCAATGTCTTCAAGCTCTTTGCCAATGGTGACTTGTGCATGAGCAGCACTCATGTTTATAGGTGAACTCTCAGGCACATGGGGGCTCGTGTTCACCGGGAGAAGCGGCTGGGCCTGGGGGAACAGTCTGCTGGCTGTCAGGGCTGGCACGGCCACGAGATTCCAAAAATTGAGGACAAGGCAAGGGTGTTGAGAAGGTTCTTCCAGGGTATTAAGGGTTTTTTATCCCTGCCCCTTGCCCCACTTGACTTTACTGGACACAGAGCCTTAGATGAGTCCCCATCCCTTCTTGATTTGGTCATGACAATTGAGATGTTGCCTATTTGTAACAATGAATTCCTTAATGAAGGAAGGTGGAGTCTTGGCTGGAAGGTAAGGTCTGAACCAGTTCACAGGATGGGGTCTGTATGATGCTCTTCAAGCAGCAGGGAGTTGGAGGGATAATAAGTGGGGTGGGGAGGGCCTTGCTTGACTGAGCTCCCTGCAGACCACTTCACCTGAGAGCATCTATGGCTAGATTTAAGTTATTTTGAAATACTAAAGGTGAGTGAGCCAGGTCTGGGTGCAGGTGAACCCAGGTGGAATGGAAACGCTTCTTAAGTGCTGTGAAAGTAGAGGTTAGGGGTCATAAGGGAAGCTCAGAGCCGTTCACTGATAAGTGACACCCACTTTTTTCCCCTAAAGTGTAATTTATGGTGACTCATGAAAGTTCACCCATTAGAATGGAGCACATAGTGGTCAGGGCATTCTCTGAATCTCCATGGGACCTTTGAGATGGATGTTGTTCTCTGGAAACTGGGGGCTGAACTTTAAGCTCCCTCCCCTCCTTTTGTCTTAGTTGGGAGGTTGGGGGAGGTCAGCTAATGACAGGTCCAGGAAGAGCTTGGGACCCAGTCTTCTAAGACTCTTGGACCCAAATCTGCTAGGCAGGGGCAGGTTTCGCCTTCGGGAGCTTCCTTGTTATTTGTACTTCTGCCCAAGGCCTAAGTGATGTTTCCCACACTGAAAGAATCAGGGAATGGAAGCCAGCAGCGGTTAATCAAGGGGCTGTGTGGACCAAAAACAGCAGTCTCCTGAGGGTGACGGTCGGGGGTTCCAGCTGTGACCTGATTCAGACCTTCCATATTGTGGTGAGGAAGCTCAGCCGGGGGAGGGGTCGGGAGTGACTGAACCACAGATGTGGACAAGCATCCAGGTCCCTGGATCTCCTGTCCCGACTTAGGACCTGGGAGTTGCCTTTCAGGGAAGGGAAGAGTGAGGGAAGGGACTGGGCCTGCATGGGGCAATTTGAATGTCCTCTGCCTCTGGTATTGGAGTTATACATGGACAGCTGAGCCTGGCGGAGGGAAGAAGTTGGAGAATATGTGCCAGAGTGAGCAGACAAAGAGGATCAGAAGAAGGGAACAGAGGAACCTTTGCAGGTCATCCTGGGTCATTCTGGAGAGCCAAAAGAAGACACAGGTTGGTCCTGGCCAGACACAAGTCCTCCCTGTGTTCCTAAACCCAGGACACCTGTCAGAGCATGGGGAACACCTTGCACTTACTTCCATGAGGATCTCCGTCTACAGGACGGTGAGTGCCTCTAGGCAGCACTGGTGTCTGCTTGCATAGACAGGGCTGAAGAATCGGGCAGCTGTGCTCCCCAACTCTTTTGTGCCTGAGTTTCTGGTATAAATATTTCATGTAGGCCTCCCCCAGAAGTCCCCTTTCTTTGAATTTCAGGCCACACTGAGAATTTGGTGACCTGAGGTGCCCAGTGAGCGCCTTCTGGCTCATCGAGACTGTCCAGTGTACATACCTTCCCATTATGTAAGTGGTGAGTCAAGGACTGCAAAATAGGAATTAGCGGCCTGCCTGTGTTCAGGGCCATAATTAGATACCCACATTCTCTCTCTGCCTTCCCTGTGTTGCCTGAGTGGAGTGACTGCTGGCCACCCACAATTAATTATCAAGGGGCTGAAGAGGGTTCCACCTGGTTGTCCACTGAGGTGCTCTCTCTGTCCACACCTTTGCCGTGTGCACAGCTCTTTCAGTGATGTGAGAAGGTGAAGGGGTTTCTGTGGCCCACACCCCACACTGGGGAGGCAGCCGGGAAGACAGCTTTGATTGGCACCCTTGCTGGGCTATCTTCAGAGCTGTAGGTGGACTTCTCTGCAGCAGCTGTGACGCTGCCCTGCAGCATGAAGGCTTGTGATAATGCGCTGGGCGTCTCCCTCCCACACAGAGGGAAATGACTTTAGGTATTAAGAAAGTGAAAAGCTTGGAATAATTGGTTAGGAAACTAAGTAGCAGCAGGAAAGAACTGTCAAAAAAAAAAAAAAAAAAAAAAAAAAGCCATTACGCTCTCTTCCTTTCTCCGCCGTCATGGTGCGTGCTTTACTCCATTTCTCGCCATGTCTTCTCACAAGACTTTCAGGATGAAGCAGTTCCTGGCCAAGAAACAAAAGCAAAATCGTCCTATTCCCCAGTGGATTCAGATGAAAACTGGTAATAAAATCAGGTACAACTCCAAAAGGAAACATTGGAGAAGAACCAAGCTGGATCTACAAGAAATTACACATGAGATGGCACACACATTTATGCTGTCTGAAGGTCACAATCGTGTTACATTTTCAAGCTGAAAAATGTCACCGCTATCCAGAGAAGTTTGAACAGAGGTTCCTCTCTGGATCTGTTATGAAGGCGTTGGTTGGCTGGGTTCGGTAATATGTGAGCCCTTTTCACTTCTTTAAAAAAAAAAAAAAGTCATTTTATGGGAGTTACAGCATAAAACATTTAGGGTTGAAAAATCAAAGCCACATGGCTGGTGCTAGTATGTTCACGTGTTTGTGCAGTGCTCACACACACTCACCTTTTAGGCATCCCCTTGCTCTGTCCCCTACTCAGATCCCCACCTGCCGTGTCTTTTGCCTGGGGCATTCCTGGGAAATATGTCATGTCCAAAAACAGTTTGATGAGCTGATTCACGTAGGGCTACACTTGTGGCAGGCATTGTAATATGTTAGTGTCTTAACCTCTTCTGCCCTCCGCAAGACTATTTTTCAGAAGAATCTTTTCTTTGGCCAGGAAGGATATATTCTTTATGGTGGGGAAATCTCTCTGAACCGGGAGCAGTTGCACTGGTGGGATCTCAGAGATGCAGGTCAGCAGCGCAGGGACCTTAGGAAGGAGGTATCCTTCACCTTGTGCCATGTACTGGCCTGAGGGCTGGTCCAGCCCACATACAGGCATGGACCAGTCACGCACAAACACCTGCTCAAAGTTGTCAGACTCGAACTCCAGGGTGGCTTCCTTCGTGGGGGTGCTGGTCCCAACACTCAACATGGCAGGTGTATTTGTTTCCTGTGGCCACTGTAACAAGTTGCCACAAACTTAGTGGCTTAACACAACACATCTTTGTTCTGTGATCGGTCTGGAGGTTGAGAGTCCAAAATGAGTACCACTTTGGGTGTGGTAGCTTCCTCCTGAGGTCCTGGGGGAAGGGAGAATCCCCTCTCCACTGCTTGCAGACTCCAGTGGCCACCTGCCTTCCTCGGCTCAGGCCCCTTCCTGTCACCACTACAGTCTCTTGCTCCTGTCATCACGTTTCCTTCTCCTCTTTGTCACATTTTCCTCTGTCTCCCTGTTAGATCAGAGTCCGGATGCCTTTTTGTTTCATTTTTTATTTTTTAAAGATTGGGTTTGCTTTGTCACCTGTCCTGGAGTGCAGTGGCACAGTCATAGCTCACTGCAACCTTGAACTCCTGGGCGCAAGTGATCTTCCTACCTGAGCCTTTCAAGTAACTGGATTACAGGTGCTCCAGTGTGAGCTCAGCAGGGCTGTTCAGGGGAGTTCAGCAGGGATAAGTAGGACTTGTGGGCGCTGCTGCCAGGCATGCGGTATAGGCATGAGAAATGGAGAAAGGAAGATGGGGCCACCAGAGACTGCTCTGATAGACACACAGTCCCCACCTGGGTATCAGTGTCATCGCCTTCCAGAGAATTTGTGTTTTCAGCATGAAGCAGGATCAGGGAATGTCATTATAGAAAAAGACCTGGAAGAGCCAGCCCCCTCCACAGGTGGGGCCGATGGAGAAGTAACTTTTGCCCCAGTTTGTAGAGCCTGGGACTGCAGAGCTTTGACGGTTGCCCTGACTCAAGTCAACTTGGGAGCTGAGCCCCTCAGTGTGTAGGGCGCAGCGGATACCATGGCCGGCCTCCTGTTCACTGATTCAGCCCCAGTGGGAGAGGGGGAAATGGAAAATACTCCTTGTCCTTGAGCAGTGTTTTGTTGGTGAGACTGGTTTTGTGTTTACTTCTCACATGTGAGGTACAGACAGGTATGGTGACCCCCAGCTCTCCCAGAAAAATCCTGACTTTGGGCAAGTTACTACTCTCCTCCTGGGACCATTTTAATAATTAAATGCAAACACAGTGAGGACGCTAGCACTGTGGTTGGTGTGTGACCAAGCCCATGGGGCACAAAGGTGAAGGGACAGGGACAGAGCAGGTGGAGGAGGAGAGAGACTCCCTGAAGCCACAAGGCTCTGAAGGACTGTGCTGTCCCAGCTGTGACCCACCTCAACCAGCTGCACTGAGGCAGGCTTGTCCCTCGGAGGCAGAAGGGTCTTAAAGCTACGACCCATCCCCCAGTCTCAGTCCTTCCTTAGGTAGCTAATGCTTGCTTTCGGGCTTCTGTGTGTTCCTCTGCCTTTGATGGAAGGGTGGTAGACAGGCTTCCCCTCAAAGTCTAATAAGCAGTGAGTCATTGTCTTCCTCTGAGCCAAGAGGGCTGTACCTGGTGCCTGGGGGTGCTTTGTGATGTCCAGGCCCCAGCTGAGAAGCAGTTGTGCTGGGGTTCATTAGTGGTGTCCCCTGTCTGTCTGCAGGGTGCGGTAGCTGTCATGGGGTGGAAGTCCAAGGCTCACTTCCTCCGGATACCAAGTACAGGTTTTGGAACCAGCCTCTGTGATCAGTGCAGAGGTAAAAAGAAATCACACACCAGCCACAGTGCTAGTGTCTCATTGTGTTTCCATTTAATCCTAAAATGGTCCCATGAGGACAGCAGTAAATTACCCAAAGTCAGGGTTTTTCTGGGAGAGCTGGGGGTCTTACATTGAGCCACAGGTTGGAGACCTGGTGAGTGGAGCCACTCTGGCTCCATTCCCATTCAGTGAGCTGGGGCCCAGGCACCCCTCTGGCCTGAGGGTTTTGGAGCCTTACCTGGTTAATGTTTGAAGATCTCAGATATGCTAGGATAAACTGGAGCAGGTCTTTACACCTCTGCCAGGCGATGGGCACTAACGCTGTCAGGTGGCCGACACCTGTGGAGCGTGTCAGCCGCAAGGGAGCACAGAGCCAGGAGTTCTCTTGACTTCATCCCCCAAGGCAGCAGAGGTTTGAAGATCTCGGGGGCGGTGGGCGGGAGGGGGGCGGGGGGTTGGCTTGCATCTGGATGTGGAGGACATGCTTGCCTCGCCCTGACTTCCAACGGGTTGTCAACAAGAGACCCACTCAGGACTACTATGTATTCTGGTCCCAGCAGCGGACCCAGAGGCCGCTCTAGCTGTGTCTGAAGGGGCTATGAGAGTGGTAGGTGTGGGGAGGTCTGGGAAGGAGGGTCTTTGGGGACATAGTCCAGCACTCACCTTTGACAGATGAGGAAACTGAGGCCTAGAGGGCAGGCAGGGTCTCCACTATCACTTCCAGTAGGTTTCAGAGACAGATGCCGCCTGCCTTCCTGCAGCAGCTCTCCCTGCCCAGATCGGTGTCAACAGGGCAATTCTCAGCAAGCTGTGAGCAACTGAGAGACACTCCTCATGGCCCAGCCCAGCAGATGCCCAAGTGTGTATAGCAGCTGCTGGGTGACTAGGGCTTGAATGGAATGTGTTGTCCAGGGTCAGGCAGCTGATTGTCCCAGAACCATGGCTGGACAACCGAGCCTCGTCCAGTGCGCTTCTCACTATGCCACATCCCTTGTGGCCCTCCTGGCCGTGCCTCTCTAAGCAGTTCTCCCCCAGGAAAAGTCAAGGGTGCAAAGCAGGGGGAAGGTAAGAGGCTGTGATGAGAGATATGGACTTGTAGTGGGAGAGAGGTGGGAAGTGTGTTGTGAGAATGCTTTGGATTTCTTGTTTCTTGGGGGCTACATTCCAAGATGGAGAAGAGAACACTATTTGTGCTCCATGAGAAAAGGTTAAGAAAACAGCCCCGCTCCAGTGAACCTGGCAGCATTCTTTATAAACATCGACATCTGGGAGAGAGGTGCAGTCGAATATTGTTGTAAATGGATTTGTGCTCTTTTCGCGTGGTGCTGTGCTGACGCACGCTACAGGAGGGGTGTGGGAGCGCAGTGTCAGGCCAGGGCCCTGTGTGGGAACAACCCCTTACCTCCCTGAGCCCTCCCTGGCTTCCTTTGTTTGACTGCCAGTACCATCTTGTTGCTTCTTCCACCATATTCCCCATAGCATCCTCTGTCCTCTGAAGATGGCAGCATAAGCCCTGCAAAACGAGGCAGATGCCTGGAGCCACAGGTGTCCACTCATTCACATCATCCATGTGACCAGACTTCAGCTTCCTCTTTCTCATGGTCCAAGAGGTATTACAGTTGTGTTAAATGTGCAGCACTAGAATTTTAGGAAGGGGGAATGGCTATAAATAACGTCAGGTGCACTCTGGTCATCTGCTTGACTTGTGCTAGGCACTGGGCTGTGCAGAATATGTCACTGTGACAGCCACGTCTTTGAGGGTCAGGAAGGCGGACACTTCTAATCTCTAGTCCCTCCCTTCTGAGCATAGACGGAGAAGCCAGAGTGCAGTTGGTGGGAATTCTCAAAGGCTTCCCTCACCCTTTTCTTCCTCCTTGCTTCCTTCTATTCCCGTTTTTTCTCTCCCTCAGCCCATGGGATCAGACCCTGCACTGAGCTCCTTCACTGTGTTTCTGTTGCTGAAGTAAACGCAAGCCCTGTCCTTTCCAGAGCAGGAAAGGAGAGTCAGGTTTTCCTCCTGGGGCCATTTCACCCTTGTTCTCTCTGTCTCCTACAGAGACTCTGCAGGGAAAGACAACTTAGGTAATATCAGAGGACATCCAGCTTGTGTTCTAGGACCACAGCCTTGCCCTTCTGCTGTGGCCCCCACTGGGTGAGGGGAGTACCACGGCCACACGAGGGGTCATAGTCTGTGGAAAGGAATAGACGTGCAGGTGTGCATTTACTGTTTGTTCTGTCACTCACCAGACATTTGAGAAGCCCTGAGTGCTGTGAGGCACCCTGTACAGTAATTTGAGGGCTGGGGAAGAGTAAGATGGCTGCTGTGTAGAACTTTAGCCTTAGAGAACACACTTGAATTTTGGATAAACGGGTGGCAGTTTTGGCTATGCTGGTTTCCTCTATATATTGTTAGCCTTTTCCTGGCTGAGAGAAGAGCATTTGCCTAGTTTTAGAACACATCAGTCATTTGCTTTAAACTTTATATTTCCCCCAAAGTCACGTGTTTGAATTGTAAGAGCCTTGGAGGCTTGGAAAGGATCTTTCCATAGCACCTGCATGGACTCTCCTGCAGTGGATGCCCTGTCTCAGGAGTTTGACTTAGGGAAACAATCTTTATTTCCAATGAAGAATTTAATATGTGAACACACCTAAAGAGAAGTGAGAAATGCTTGACCTGAGGACCTTGGGAGCAATCTCTCAGACCCCTTAAAACTTACCCTGTTTTCTCATTGATGTGATAGTGGGGCAGCAGTTTGTTGTTATTGTTTCTGCCGCGGGGGGGCGGGTTACTTAAGATGTACCCATTTTTTCTCCCTATTGTGCAGTATTTACCCTTGGATCTTACTGTGCTCCCTGATATATGTGAAAGCTGAAAATGGACCAGATGGGAATTTTAAAGGCATTGAGGGGCTTTACTTTATTATTTTTTTTTTCAAAATAGTGTACATTTGGTAGTTTAAAAAGTCAGCTATGTAACCGTAAAGCTTATAGTAAAAGAGTGTCTTGCCCTATTTCTTCTTAGTCCTGAGTCCTGTTCCCAGAGGAAGCCATTCCAGCTCTTCTAGCCAGAATATTCCGGTGCCTACTTCTGTGTTTGTAAATAACTGGTTTTTACTGCTACTTCTTTAGTTTTAGGAGATGTTATCTATTGGTTTTTATATACCATAGATAGGATTTAGCTCTTTCTTCTGCCTGACTCCTTTCTCCTACCCCACTACCCTTGTTTTTCCTGGTAATGTTGCTTGCGGAGCCAGCCGTTCTCATGTCCCAGACTGGCTCTGGCTGTCCTCTGGGCTGGCTGCACGGCCCTCCATCTGGGCTTGACCTTCACCTTCATCCTGGGAAGTGTCGCCCCCCGCCCCCCGCCTTCCCCCACCCCTTTTTTGTTTGTTTGTTTACTTTATTTGGTGAAACGTTTTTGAGAAAGGCACAGAGAGGAAAGGTTTTGTGGCCTTGCCTGTCTCAGGGTGCCTGTCCTGTGCACACTCTTGACCAGCAGCTGGACTGGCTCTAGAATGTTAGATGGGACATAATTTTGCCTTGGAATTTTGAAGGTGTCATTCATTTTTAACTTCATTGTTGCTATTAAGGAGTTCATGTGCAAGGGCCTGATTCTTGATCCTTTGCAAATAAACTGAATTTTCTCTCCGAAAACTTTTAGGAGCTTCTCTTTATCCTTTGAGTTCTACAATTTCATGAAGGTATGCCTTGGTGTGGATCTGTTTTCTTTTATTAAGATAGACACTTGTGTATATTTCAGTGTGAGAAATTCTGACCTTCTGGTCCAGAACGTGTCTTGTGTTTTTTTCCTCTGGTAATTTATTTCCTTCTTTTTTACTTTAATTTTTAAAACTAAACTCATCATCTCTCTCCTTCCCTCATTGCCTTTTTTTGTGGTTTTTTTTTTTTTTTTTTTGAGATAGAGTCTTGCTCTGTCACCCAGACTAGAGTACTATAGCACAATCTTGGCTCACTGCAACCTGTGCCTCTGGGTTCAAATGATTCTCCTGCCTCAGCCTCCCAAGTAGCTGGGGTTACAGGTACCTGCCACCACACCTGGCTAATTTTTGTATTTTTAGTAGAGAGAGGGTTTTTCCATGTTGGCCAGGCTAGTCTCGAACTCCTGACCTCAGGTAATCCACCTGCCTTGGCCTCCCAAAGTGCTGGGATTACAGGTGTGAGACACCGCACGTGGCCAGTTTTTTTTTGAGACAGGGTCTCACTCTGTCTACCAGGCTGGAGTGCAGTGGCGCTATCACTGCTCACTGTGGCCTCAACCTCCCGAGCTCAAACAGTCCTTCTTTCTCAGCCTCCCAGGTAGCTGGGACTACAGGCATGTGGCTCCACGCCTGGCTAATTTTTGTATTTTTGGTAGAGATGGGAGTATCGCCATGTTTCCCAGGCGGGTCTGAAACGCCTGGACTCAAGCAATCTGCCCGCCGTGACCTCCCAAAGTGCTGTGATTACAGACGTGAGCCACCATGCCCGTCTGGTAATTTCTTTTGTTTTATTTTTCCTGGTTTTTACTTCTGGAACTACTGTTATTTGGCTATTAGTTCTTCTAACTAGAGTCTCTAATTTTGTCTTTTTGCGTAGCTCTTTTGTGCCTGAGATCGCATTAACCTTGCCTTCTACCCCTTCTGTTGGGATTTGGTTCCAGCTATTGAATTCTTAATTTCTTAGAGCTTGTTTTGTGTTTTCCATGTGTCCTCTTTTGTAGCATCCTTTTTGTGTTTCATGGATGCAGTATTTTCTCTAATCATTTCAGTTATTTTGAAGTTGTATTCTGTCTCTGGTCTGACTTTCATTCTCCTACTATCCTTTCTGTTTGTTTTGGTCTTGGGCTCTCTTAAATGAGTCTTGACCCTTCAGAAGAAGACTGTGTGTATTTGGGGTGCGTGTAGGAATGTCGACAGGTAAGCCTTGCCTTAGAAGGACAGGCAGGGCACTGGTTTGTTTTGGGAGAGACCCTAGAATGCCCCTAGGTATAAGCCCTCTCATCTCCATT